TTTGGATTGAAGCCACAGCATATATGACAGGACACTGCAGAAAGTAGAAACATATGGAATTTGGAGCATATCCTGTCAGAGATTTCATAAATACTGCCATGGAGAATCAGCATATCATTCATAGTTTTTTATGGTGGAACAGCAATATGAGCCCCACCCTGGCTCCATCAGATAAACAGTCTGCAAACAAATTAAACTACCATATGCTGATTATCCTGAGGCCTAGCTTGGTAATACTTTGCCTTGCAAAGAGCAGTAGGTCCCACAAAAATATCCAATTACTAGTGCAGATATCTGCATGGAGAAGGTTGCTATTCTGTCAGTGCTATTCCATTGTTACTCTGAATATGCTCCAGGCCACATTTTATTCTTACAGTACAATGTCAGTAGTAAATATATTGGATTGATATGAACTTAAAAATCAAAATCAAATTCTAAATAGCATGAACATCCAACATTTCTGTAAATATGGTTTTCCAGAATGAGATAAAGTAACTTCAGCTTAGGTGATTGAAGTAAAGGAAAAAAAAATCTCCAAAACATCTACACTGGGGTAAAAAGTTCTACACACTCTTTCTTTTAATCCCCAAATTAGTTTTGTCCTATGGTGCCATTTTTGTTGCCCATTCAGATTTGCTTATTTATTTAGATATTTTAAAGAGATACACTAGTATAAATGAAACCTGTCTAATCAGTGATAAAAACTGAATGTACTGAAAACAGAAAAAAAATAGTTCCCACCTCCTTTTCATGGCTTCATCACAGAATAAATTATGAGATACAAGAGAACCCAATATTTGTTTCAGTTAGTCGAGTTGGGCAAAAAAGTAATTTAATGTAAAGTCTGAAATAAGCAATTAAATATTCTGATTATTCAACTAGTTCCTACCTGTTGTTTGTTGTTGGGTGTATATGGCAACATTGTAGAAACATGAAACATGATTTCATAGTCTTTATATGTTGTATAAAGAGAGTGGGTACCAGTTGAATCAGCTGCAAATAAATAATATAAAGAAAAGGTCTAATTTATTATTATTATAAATAACACAATCCACAAGATTGTGAAGATACATTTAACCAAGCACAAAATCCATGTAATGTTTATTCTAAAGCAAAATAAGAAATAGAAGTATTACTTATTTTTAATTTTATATATTTTAATATATTATGTTTTATACATGTTATAAATTCTAAGGGTTGCCAGAAAAACCAAAAAGATACTCAAAGGTGGATATGCTAGAAACCATATAACCATATAATGCAGAGGTTTTTGCAATACTTTTCTTACAATAAATATTGTATGCTTACCTATTATCATTGTAAAATAGAACTTTGCAGGTGTCATTTCAACATTAATCTTTTGTTCTGTATAATAAACTATTTTTTAAAAAATTGAGATGATTTATTTAGATTTACTTCATCCTATCATTAGTGTTACAGATAAATTGTCATATCTGTATGCCATAAATATCATAGTGGTTGCTCAGCAGTTCCCTCGTCACCTGGATGAAACAGATTATCTAGACCCATACCAGTCGGGCTTCAGGCCGGGACACAGCACGGAAACGGCATTGGTCACGTTGGTAAATGATCTCTGGAGGGCCCGGGACAGGGGATATTCCTCTGTCCTTGTGCTTTTGGACCTCTCAGCGGCTTTTGATACTGTGGACCATGGTATCATGCTGCGACGTCTCGGTGAGTTAGGGGTGGGAGGCACTGTTATGCAGTGGTTCTCCTCCTTCCTCACCGACCGTACGCAGTCTGTATTGGCAGGGGGACAGAGGTCGACTCCCAGGCCCCTAACTTGTGGGGTGC